GGTTCTGAGCCAAAGTTATAAGGCTGTTATATTCACATCCTGTTTTTTTTTCCAGCGTGAAATAAACAAAAAACATTGTGCAGATTTTTTGTGTGCAATGTTTATGACATTTTAATTGTTTGAAACTTCATTAAAACATTTAGAAAAGCCTTTAAAAACAGAGGTCCAAGATTTTTGAAGTGGACACCAACTGTTGAAGATATTCAACCCCTTTTTATTTCCCATGTCTGCATTTATGTATGAATACAAAATTGCAATGGTATCTCGTGCATTATTTTCTAACTTAACAGATATGTTTAAAGTTCAACCTTCTATGGCTTGAATAAGTAAGTTACTGCCATCTGTTCTAATTCTTATTCCATTTATACTATTTATAAAATTTAACAGCTTAGAGCAAAAAAAAAAAAAATAAAAACAATGGGTCACCTATTTTTACTTTTGTATGATTTGATGCAATCTGCTGCAATTTAAATTTGTTCAGTGATGCTATGAACTTTGCATTTTAAATTTTAATATGATCAATAAAAAGCATTGAATGCATTAACTTGAACAGAAAACTGTCAGGATCTTGAGTTTCTTTTGGGTTTTATTAGTTCTTTCTATTAACTCTGCATTGTTTGTATTTTTACTTTGATTCCTTCTTGATGATTCTAGTTATGTTTATTTCTTGTGTCTAGTCCTTTTCTTAGCTACTCTAGTTTTTTATTTTGTTTCTAATGTCTAGTCATTTTGTTAGATTCCATTTCCTCATCCCCAGTTCTCTCCCTCGCCCCCTGTGTCTCTTCTTCTTTCTCTCTCTCTTCACACCTGCAACCAGTTAGTTCATCAGCCCATCTGCAAGGAGGAATGGCAGAAGGTCCCCAAATCCAGGTGTGAAAAACTTATTGCATGATTCCCAAGAAAAGTCATGGCTTTACCAGCTAAAAAATTTCTACATTTCTGGGGGTTTTTTTTCTGTCAAGATGGGATACTGAGTGTACATTCATGATAAACGACATAATTTTGGCAAATGACTGCAAATTTAAAGGGATCTGAAAACTTTCTGTCCCCATACATATGGCTGTAATGAAACAAACACACACCTAGATCTCTATATCGTATATAGAAAAACATTTTTCTATATACAAAATAGAGCTATTTCTCTCAAATATTTTTTGCAAATCAGTCTAAAAATATACACCATTTCCTGTGACCCCAATTGATGTTAGATTTAAATCTTTTTAAACTTGATTAAAACTCAATTTTATCAATATGATGTATAACAGATTTATATGTTAAAAGCCTGTAATTGTCAAAGGGGGCCTTTTCTTCTTATAATAACTGTGTTTTCAGCAATAGAACAGGTTGTCTCTCTCTAGACAGTTCTATAAAAACTTTGATTATATTTTTACAAATCATATTGAGTTATGTAGTCATAAAAAATGTCTTAGTGTAACTTGACATAGTGTAACTCAACAGCCAAATATATAAATAACAATGATGTATAAATAATAATGCGTATTACAATAAGAGGCAAATGGCCGTCTATTACCTGGAAACTCCACATCATTTGCATCTGCTTCATTCAGTCCCCCTTGTGTTGCTCCCCGATTTAAGTGGTGAAATTTCACAATATTGAGCAAATGAATTTGCAAGATGCAACAGGTACTGTGCTGCTTTCAAGGCTGTCTGCATACCAATGTGACCACAGTCTAACTATTACTCTCTTTATCTCTGCTCCCTCCGGCAGCGGAGCAGAAAACCTTGTGTTCTCTTTCCAAAAAGACACGTCTCCGAAACTTCTGCGGGACATGTACATTTGTTCGTGTTTATGCCCAAAGCAAAGTATTTTATGGTCAGTCTTTCATTTATAAAAGCAAAATTCATTAAGTGGGGGAACAAATTACATTAGGCCAATTCTTGAAAACACGTATTTGTTGTTATTTGCTAAAGACTACATTCACCTGAGCGCTGGGAGTGTTTTGTTATAAAAAGATTGATGCTTGTGTGCCTATGGGCTGTAAATCGTGCAATACGGGGCTGTGAGCAGTTTTATACTGACTGACAGCTGCTCAATATTCTTATTCATAAACACAAGCAGCAATCAGCATAAATCATGTCACTCACAGCTCTTTATACGCTTCAAGAAACCTTTTTTCAACGACAGCTTGATTTGTTGTTATTTCTGTCTAATTGTTGAACTTGTCACTGATGCGCACGCTTATGACTCACAAAAAAGCACGCCCAGATAATGGCCCTGTTGCAGAGGGAAATTTCCCCAGCTCTTCACAATATCTTGCACCAAACCAAAGGAATGGTGCAGATATATCTGCACCCTCAGGAGGCCTTCCAGATGGGCCCACGTTTCACTCAGGGATAAAAAGAAACCTCACCTGTCATATCTGTAGCTGACTAGAAAAAAAAGTTGCGCAAATTTTCAGATTGCTGGTGTGTGTGGCTAATAAATAATGTTGATAAAATATAACCTTTGTGTTTAATGAAATGCTTACGGAACCTCTTAAGAAATACACTTACTACTGCAACCTTTTTTGGTTTATTTTTAGTTTATTATGAAAACTATGTCTGAACAGTGTGCTAATAACATCCATTCATTGAAGAATATTTTTTGGTGTTTTTGTTCATTCAAAACTGCTTACACTTGGTCATCAACATTAACATCTTTTTAAAAATGATTTATAGGTTTGCATGACCTCTTCTTTTTAGTGTAAAATTAACTCCCACTGGTGGGCACCGCCATCTAAGAAGATTTATGCTAACCCAAAAATGCGAATCATAAACATTAGCTCTATTAACACGTTATGTCAAAAATAGCTATTGGAAGCTAACGCTGCACCACTAAATTCTACTAACGCTACCCACCATGTATCAATGATACACGATATGTTAAGACAGAGTATGTCACTCTCAACACGGTCAAAGTTGTTATTGCACAATCAGAAAGTGATTGTTTAAAACAAACATTTCACTCATGGTTGCAGTTACAGTTGTACAGTATTGCTAATTCTGCTGCTGACTATTCCTAATTGACCACCGTGATCAGAAAGCACACCATCAGGACGTCATTCTGGGTAAAGAATGAAAGTGATTTGCCGCGTTGCATCACGGAAGGAGAGGAAGCAGGGCTGCTGCATAAGCAGTTCTTACTCCCTGCTAAATAGGAGTACACACAAACATATCTAACGACTTGAAACCTTTGTAACAGTTGATAACCAAAATTTATTCCACTGAAAGTTTTTGGATGATTTGCGTTCATCCAAATCAATTGCACGTTAGAATTAATTTGGAAAAATATATTTAGGGAAAGCTAAGTGCACTAAAAGTTTTCTAAGTTTGCAACAACTCTAAAGCACTAAAAGCAATTTAGCTCTGCTGTTAGCGCATCAGCACATTAGCGGGAAGTGTGAGATCCTGTTGCTTTGCAGGTAACTGGTGAGAAAGTGTTGGTTTCCTACTTCATTCTACAATACTTATTATCTCAATCAATCTCATAAGGATGAAAAAAGAGAAGCAATTTAATGGAGGAATTCCTTTTGGTTCTAAAACAAATAATAATTAAAAAAAACACTAGAAAGAAAGGTCAATTAGAAATGTACTTTACTTGGTCTGAAATAAGTCATATAATTGGTCTGAATTGCTGCTAGAACGGCTTCAGCTGTCTTGCCTCTTCATTTGGCAGAAGATGAAGTCTCTGCACAAACAGAAGATGTTCTGGCCAAAGGTCCCCAAGAAGCTCGAAGGCTGTGGTTTCTCTTTATGTTACTTTTTTATAAATGTGTACAGTGTAAATTTGTCCTACAACAAGACAGAACTTGACAACACAATTCAATTACAACAAAGTACAATGCAGAGAGATTTTACTATATGGTCGAAAGAATACCAAGAAGATATTCAGATTAGCAATGCAAAAGTAAAATATAAATACATAAATAAATAATAATAATGAATCAATACAGCAATATAAAACAAATTTTAATATTAAGATAGCTCATTTATTGCAGCTGGAACAAAACTGTTTTAGTTCCTGCTGTTTCTGTGAGGTTTTTAGCACTTATAGGGTCTAGAAACATTGGCCTGGTGAGAAGAACCTGAAACTCCATGGGATGGGAGTCATTTTACAAAACAGACTCGACGAACTGTTTGTACCTGCTTGATGTACAGAGATGTCTGATACAGATAAGGCTCACCAACCAGCCAACTGGACTATTTCACTGTTTGATTCAAGATTATTTTTTTTTTTGGTTAAGTTTCTTTGTTTGGAGCTGCTTTGAAATTAGGACAAGAAAAAGTTCTCTTTCAGGGTTTATACATTTATATCAATTTTTGAAGTGAACTAAAAAAAACTGTTTTTCTAAAGGAGCAAAGTCTAATATTTTTATGGCTCACCTCCAGGGTTAACCCAACAGAGTTTACTTTAAAATAATTTTGTGATAAATATGTGAAAGAGGTTAGATTTGGGGTTTTTTTTTTTTTTTTTTTTGCTTTTTTTTATTAAATAATATATTTTAAAATAACAGAGTTACCACCAACATGCTGGCTGTTTCTGTGGCCAAACAACTTTATCATTTCCCCATCTGAGTAGAACATGATATTCCAAACAGAAAAGCCTTTACCTCTGTGAACTGGGTCAAATTCTCCTTCTGGAAAGCCACAACTTTTTCCATGACTCCCATGCAGGATGAAATTGTGCAACTATGCTGTAAATGTTGATTTTGAGCGGCTGCAAACTTACCTGCAGGTTTTGTGATTAATCTTGAAATAAAATTTAACCATGTTTGTTTTAATGTGACAAAATTTTAAAAAGTTTTTGCAAGGCACTCTGCTCCTCCAGGATTACATTATTTGTGTAATGGTTAATCCTCTTCTACTTGGCACACCAAACTAACCTGCAGGTGTGCTTTTTCACAGTGCTGATAAATCAGCATCCTCCTGACGTATTTGACCGTAACCTATATAAATACCCCAATTTCCACATCGCACACGCAGAAAGCTAGTAAACAAGTTTATCATGAGAGCCTTTTTAACCTTCTTCTTCATCTTGTTGCTCTGTAATCTGCACAGGGCACAAGAACACAGCAGTAACAGCGTTATTAGTGGAGAGGATGAGCCTGAGAGTCAGATGTCCAGATCAGAGAAAAATAAGGAAGAGCTGGAGCTTCAGCTAGACATCTGGGAGGAGCTGAGAAACCTGCGAGATTTGGTGGAAGTGCAAGCAGTAGAGTTGAGGCTACTGTCAGCAAAACTGGCAGAAAATGACAGTCTGATGAAGGACAGGCTGACTGCAGTAGAGACCCTGGTTGAAGACATGCAGATGGAGGGAGAAGGTATCTACTGAACCTTGGTTGAAGGATCTTTAATGTAAAATCTGTGAATTGTGAATATTTACAATTACATTTTTTTTTATCACTTCAGCTGAATCTGCTGAGCTTTCAATGACTCAACAAAAACTCAACATCGTACAGGACAGGCTATTGGTGAACGTAGCTCATGTAGAAGAGCTGCAGGAGAAATATGAAGGTAATGTTTGACACAAAATATTTGTTATGTTTTTGTTTCATAGTAAAAATAGAATTGTTTTTGTCAACACAATATTTTTGTTAGTACATTAAAATGTGAATTCAAAAAAATTTTTTCAGTTATGCTCAAAATGGTAATATAGCAAAAATCTGAGGTGTTTGGTTTTCAGATTAGATTTAAACTTTTAGAAAGATTATTGTGCTTATTTACTATTGCTTCAACTTTTGAAACATTAATTATATGATACTAACTGATATTTTCACAAACTTTGTTGCAGTGAGCAAAGTGGCTTTTTCCACTTCTCTACTGGTAACTGGTGCAGGAAACACATTTTACAATGACTATACCACCATGGTGTTCAGAAATGTGATTACTAACACTGGAAACCACTATAACCCAATCACAGGTAAACCTTCTAGATTTTTCTTTTACTTTAAGAAAAAGTGACTTGTTTCTTCTCTTAAGTTTCAAAATACTTCTTGATCTTTTTTCAGGTTTCTTTACTGCACCAGTAAGAGGAGTCTATTACTTCAGATTCACCGCTCATATTGCACTCAGTACTGAGAGTAAAATGATAATAAGAATAGTGAAGAATAATGATCCCATAGTTTTATCAGGGGACGGACACACAACAACCACAGATCCTGAGGACAATGTGTCCAATGGAGTTGTGTTGGAGTTGGAGGTTGGAGATCTTGTTGCTTTGCAATTAGCGGGGAATGCCTGGGATGACCAGTATCACAGAACAACCTTTGGTGGATTTCTTCTCTTTTCCTTGTAGCTGTTAATATTTTTTTGTATTTCATAAACTTCTATCATATTATGACACAGCAACACCAAGTACACTTGTAAGAGCTTGTTGGTGCAGACAAAGACAAAATTAAAGATCAAATTTTGTAATATTTCTGCATGTAATACTCTGACTTTTTCATGACTCCTTTGACCTAATAAAGGTCCTACAACCTGTTATATGTTATTCTTCATACAGATAACTTTCAATTTTATTTACTTTTTGGGTAGTTTGAGTGAGGTATGTTTGAAATGTATTACCATAATTAAGCAAACACTTCATGTCACAAGCTCCCATAAAATAGATCCTTTCACAATGTCCAAAAGAGGATTTTGGACATTTCTTTCCAAAAGAAAGAAAGAAAGAGAACAATATTTCTGGTAATAATGAAATAATTCCTATTAATGTTATTTTTGCCAGAGCGACAGACAGCCACTTGAAAACGAACACTGAAGATTTAATGAAAAAAGAAAGGAAAACTTACTGGTCTCGAAAAAGAGCAAAGAACAAGGAGGATGAACAGGACATGGAACAGAACAGAAGAATCTGTCAAACCTTCATCCAAGTAAAATGGAGCTTTAGCTGAAGTTCAAGCTGGAAGACTCCGCCCCCTCCGTTCACCCATCGACGTCATGCTCATCCCCGTCCTCAGCCTGGACCTCACCCTGCACGTTCAATCAGCAATCAGGCTCTGCATAAAGGATCCACACCCAAACCGTCAGACGCTTCCCAGCTGCGTTCAGCCCATCACCTCCCCATCTCCACCCTCATCCTTCGGTTCTCCAGGATGGAACCCTTCCTGACCACCACCACCAGTGTCGGGCCCCGGGGGGAAGCATCCCTAATCAGTTATCGGGATGTTCATCGAGTTCACATCAAATCTCAGCTCAAATCAGCTGCCGGGGCCCGAGCGCCAAAGAACTGTTATTCATTGCTGTCATTAAATCTTTTAATTGTTCCTTGTTCTCCGTCTGAGTCTTTCCAGATTGAAATGCTGTGCATGAATCTGTGTCTGCCAGCCTCATTGTATTGGGGGGTGGGCCTAAATTCTTAGCCATATATATACATGGATGTTGCCTCTTCAGATGTTGTGCAGAACCTTTCTCATCACACTGGCGATTGAGATGAACGTTTTATTTATTTATTTTTTCACTATATTTGATCAGCAAGGCTGTAAATCTGAATCCTCTGCAGCGGTAACTTCCATTTGCCAAAACGAACAACAAAATACAGTTTTGATCACATTACATTGTGTAAAAGAGGTAAAATACTCAACAAATTCCAGAGATAAAAGTGGGAGAAAATGACATCTCATGAATGCGATCATTGTTTCCTTTCCTTTGGTGTTTCACATCATAAACCTCCGGGAATGCAGCTGCATCAGCGTTTGAGCTTTGACTAAATCCATTCAGACTCTTTGTTGTGCAGTCACTCAGATCGCACAAGTGCATGCAAACGTACACACACTTACACGCACACACTTGGAGAGCGCCACACCTCTGTTATCAGCCATCTCGTATATGGCTGATAACCATGATCAACACAGAGGTAAGTCTCTTTTCACAGCCAGCGTCTGTGGGGAATTCAGTCCCTGTTCTGCTGCTCGCCGAACAGATTATCTCTCACAATCAATCTGCAAACTATAACATGGCACAATTTCTTACGCCTTCCCTACAAGTCGTCGTGACACTAGACTAACACTCCAACTCCAATTCTGTGGGACACCTTCCGCCTTCTAAAAGTAAAATATAGGCCAGAATCAAGCAAGCGGGCTCAAAGGAATCATTCAGGTGTGTTTATGGAAAGAGCCCGGAGTGCATTGGAGACAAAGTGTCTCCTCTGAATCTGATGAGGTGTTTAGCTCAGACCTGAAGCTACGGTACAGCACAAGAGCACAGTCTGATCAAACAGCTGCCAATATGAAAAGGACTGCCATATCCTCTAGGCACCTGGGGCTGTGTGAAGAACACAGCCTCTCTGGTTTCCCTCTCACAGGTACCTCTTTGGTTGGAAACATTTTTTCATAATTGCATTTAATTCTATGTTAGGTGTCCCCGCAGTGCCACTATTAAGGTTAAGGCTAAGCCGAAGGAGCTTTTCTAGCTTTTTCATCTGAGCTTCTTCCTCGTTTAAAACTTAGTATCATTCCCACAGTTCTGACAGCACACACACACACACACACACACACACACACAAAACACAAGATATTAAGTTGAAAAATTCCCATGCGCACAGTATTTTAATTAATTATGCGTGCTATCTCGGGAAATTCCTTTGTTTAGGCGCAATTTAGAAATTGATGAATGCAATGGATCTTGGCTAAAAGTCTTTAATGAGGGAGGGATTTCCCCATTTGAAAACCTTAGTCATTGTTTCATTAAGATAGTCTTTCATTTGGATTTTTTTTTATTTTTTTTTTGCACATCTCTCTGGGGAAGCTTAAGGTGTGAAGGCTCATTAGACTTGTGATTGTGCCGGGAATGCTGCGTGCCTTTTCTGTCTCACTTACGGCTTTTGCATGAGGATCTGCTGAACTGTGAATGTTTTGGTCAGGGCTGAATTCATGAGAAAGGGCTTTAGAGAGAATCACTTACAGTGTTTGTGGGACGTCGTCTTGGTAGGTCAGGATTTCGCTGGATACACAGGGAGGAAAAACACAGAAAAACTGTCAAAACAGTGAAATATAGTAGAAAAAAAAACGGTGAAAGTTTACAGTCTACATTCGTGTCTATACTTGTATGTATGTGTTCATACACACAGAAACACATAACAAGGGAATGACAGCGCCTTCTCTGACTTTGAAATTAAAGGACAGATTCATTATAGGCTTAAAAAGTCAGTTCTGGGAAGAAGAATACGCCTCTCGAGAGATTAGTATTGGATCTGAATAAAGAATAACTAATTACGGGGTGATTTAAGACAATGACAATAAAGCCATTGTGAAGTTCAGTGGGGGAGAAAGTATCCGACATGTCAAACAGCATTTTCTCAGTAAATGTATCTCTAATGGAACTACTGAAAGGCAATTTACACAAAATGCCATTAACAACTCAAATAATTCATACTTGATAAGAAATTAAATAAAGAGATGAGGACATAAATAAGTTTTGCGTAACAAAGAGAATTTACAATGCACCGAGAACATGCAGAAAAAGAGGTGACCAGCTGCAGTCTGTCAATATTTGGTAAGCCATCTTGTTCCCTATCAATGCACCTTATTGTCAGCTGGTTTAGTCCTAATTAACATCCTATAAACAGGTTTCTCATGACAATGGTATAACAAACCATTATTTTACCAGAAAATCCCTTGAGATAAAATCCTTTTGAAGAAGACCTGATCGGGAGTCACTGATAAATAAAAGGAAGCATCTCTCAAAACCTTCACAAACTTGTATTTGCAAAGGGTACTGATGGTTACAGACACATTTCTAAACTTCTAAATGCTTCAGCGAGAATCCACTGAGTTCCAGTCCTCAATTGCAAAGAGCATCCTATCATCCTAAACAAGCCACAACCAGGTGCTTGAAAGTAATAAAGAACGTCAGTCTTTAGCAAATATTACAATAGATTTTCCCTTCATTGCATAAAATATATACATTATTTGTATTTTTGGATCATATGGGTTGTTACTGAGATTTGTTAGAACTATGCTTACTTATTTCCACAGGACAAATTCAATTTTAGCTCCTCTTGGCTTCATCATTCTATATCGGCATTTGCATTTATGACGCCTCAAACTAAAAATTCACTGTCATGAAAGACTCAGGAGTTATGCCAGACAATGTTTTGTGTTACAGTTGTAAACATATTGAAGCCCCCAGTAGGCGCTATCACTCTTCTTCCTTCTCTGCAAAAAAAAAAAACAAACATGTTAGGTGCAGGCAATAGCGCCCAAGGCAAGCAAAGACCAAACATGCATTTCTTTCAGCCAGATTTTAAAAGAGAAGTCTCATCTGTTTTATGTATTTTGGTCAATCACAGATGAGCAGGAGACACCATTAAATCAAAACCATGCCACGAAAATGTTAAGTGACCAGTGTGAATTTTACTGCACTTCTTTCTAAACTTGTTCAGTGGAAATGAGAGACAGCATGTGTGCAACAAAACGCATCATCAGTGTGCCTTTTGCTTTGTAACCCAACCTTTCTGGTACATAAAAGTTGCGAGCAAGAAAAACCCAAAGACCTTTGCATTCATGCATGCATGCAGAATCATGCACAAGCGCAGGTATGCAAAGAGAGGGCAGCCTGAGCCAACAATTCGGTGCAAATGAAGCCCTACGCTTTGGCCAGAATCTACAGATGCATATCTGCTCAAAGTCATGAAAACACCTGATTGTACTCACATCCAAATAACTCAGCAAGAGAGATCAAAATTCAAGGAGTGTACTCAGTCACTATTGTCAGTTTATTTCACCGAAATGAATATTTCAGTTTATAGCCCAAATTTAGGGTCAAATTAAGGTTTTGTTTGTGAGAGGAACTGATTTCATCTCTTTACATGATACAGTGTTGAACATGTGTGTGAGTTTTAGTTAAAAGAGGAGTTAAAAAGGAAATGCAATATGGCTAATGTGCGCATGTGAGGTTGTCAGAGTGAATTAAGTTACAATGCAAGGAGAATTCGACCCTCTGGTCTAGACCTGCACTCCTGCATTCACCTCCATAAAAAAATGCAGCAGTGGTTAAAATAGGCTTACAAATGAGACCAAACTTGCAATAAGACTTGATGACACCTGGAACGTGCAATTTGATTTTTGAATGTAACTATTACTTGATTTACTCCGCATTAAATTACATTACATTGGATTTTAAATTAAGTTATATTAATTATATATAACTATAGGCTGTTTTGCAGCAACCTGCGGAATTGCATTTAAAGATCTGCAGTTGAAAGGTGGGGGAAAATTTGGCATAATTACTTCCCGAATCATTTATAGACTTTACTAAACAATCAGGGTGTTGAGTAAAGAAAATGTCTTTGCTCCGATGGTTGGTGTTTGTACCGCTGATGAAATTATATTTAAAGATTGCTAGGTTGAGGACATTATCTTGAATAAAAGAGGAAGTGAGTTTTATATGGAGCTACAAGTCCTTTTTTGTGATACACTTTCCATCTGAAAAAG